CTTCTAGAAAATGGCTTCCACATGGCAAGGGTTCTGTAGTAATGGAGGTGGTGGGTGTCTCAGTGCTTGGCTTCCCTCTTCCGATCAGCCCAGAAGTGTAACCCTCAATGCGGCTAATGTATAAACATTTGCCCAGTGTATAGCCCTTTGCACAGCATTCCCACCACTAGATGGAGTCTAGGAGCATAGGAAGTATAGTCGTTTTGGCTTCTTGATGATTGGGTATTTAAAATGAACACATGTTCACCCTGTTTTCTAACATTCACTTTGCACAGTGAGCATATACCGTAAACACACTTTATTCCTTTAGTAAATCAGTTCCACTGTGTCATAAGGGTGAATGGAATGTACTGTGTATTGATAGCATCTCTACAGATTTCTGCTGCAGTAACCCTCATGGAGACTCAGATAGGAATGATTTGTATGAAAAAAGAACGCTGAAGTTCTTTTTTAAGGGATCGCTAACTACACAGAGATTTTATTTCCACCTTCTGTAAGTGAGGGTTTTCTTATTGTTTCTCTAATTATCTGCAACAATAGATAAACCATCCAGTTGGTTCATTGGTTTCTTTTGATAGTGGCTCTAGCTCAGGGGTATGCAACCTCGGCACTCCAGCTGTGGTGAAACTGCAAATCCCATCATGCCACTGCCTCTGGTAATCATGCTTGGGGCTGTAAGAGTCTTGCAATGATTTATGGGACTTGTAGTTCCACAACAGCTGGGGTGCTGAGGTTGCCTTCCTCTGCTCTAGAACAAATGTATGTCAGGGATAATCGATTATTCCTGTCTGTGTCACCAGGGGAGATTTCTCTTTGCTTTCTTAACCAAAGTCACAGACTGCAATAAACGTCGATAGAGGTTCCAATACTTCCCCACTCCATCCAAAACTAAAAAGACATTATCAGTTGTCTTTACACTTTCATTCCGACACATTCTAAAGTGCTTTACCGTGTAGATTGATCAACCGACATCGGCCATTGGCCCTAACAGAGACGTTTCGGTATTTATAAGACACGTTTCCAGAGTTATCAATGCTGTCAAATCTTGGTAAACCCCTTGATGTTTATTAGTATTTGTTATTATAGGAATTTTTCAAGAAGACAAGTTATATATATTACATACTGTATGTCTCAGGGTAAAGTGCTGTGTATCTCTGCTGTTTTTTATCCTGTATGAAACAGTTGAATTGCGCCACGGTGCCATCCTGGTCACTTAGGGGGGTGGCAGGCAGAGCGGCATAATGCTGCACAATATTTGCAGTGTGCCTGCTGCCCCCTTTCTGGCCAGATCATCCCAGGTTGCTAAGAGCAGGGCGGGGAGATGTGTAAAGGCCATACACCACTCCCTGCCCAGCTCTTGGCAACCTGGGATGGTCTGGCCAAGGTCCCGCCCAGTTCCTGGCAACCAGTGGTGACACTGGTTGTCAGGAGCTGAGCAGGATGCCCTGGCTGGTCTCTCGCTCATTTCCTGGCAACCATAACATCAGGAGCTGAGCGGAACACTGGCCAGAGGTGGGCGGGATGATGATGCAGAGGCCACAACCCTGCCCTCCCCCCTGACCTCAGGCGGCAAAAAGGTTAGGGTCGCCCCTGGGCGGCCTTGTTGGAACCACAGGACTTTACAAGGGCCGGCCTTTGGGGTGTTCGAGCTGTGCGGCCGCACAGGGCACCATGGAAACAAGGGTGCCAGGCGGCCGACACAGCTCGTCCTCGGGGCGGCTTCTCTCCTCCTCACCGCTCGGCCATCCGACATGAGAGCGCTCCCTCCTCTGCCCCCCCTTCAGCGCTGTCCTCCGAGGAGAAACTGCTCGCCTGAACTGAAGCCTGCGGGGGGGCGCTGTCAGGATGGCCCAGCGGTGAGGAGAGAAGCCGCAGCTTTCAGGATGGCCGAACGAGGAGGAGAGCGAAAGCGCTGTCATCCTGTCAGTTTCAGGATGACAGCGGAGGATCAGTAAATATCGGTGATATTTACCGATCCTCTGTGAGAAGGACAAACACTGGAGTGATCGTCTGATCACTCCATTGTTTGTAAATAAATGGGGACACATAGTACTATGTGGCCCCAGTTATGAATGAACAGGATGTGATTTACATCACTTCCTGTTCATTCATGAGTTTCCGAATGGGGAGAAGCACTCACTACAGAGACTTTTCCCCATTCATAAACTGGTGATAGTAAATATTTTACTATCATCAGTTTCTGAATGAATGGGAAGCCTCTGTACTAAGTGCTTTCCATTCATTTAGAATGGAAAGAGGCTGCAGAAAAAGTAATTGAGGACTTTGTGTCCTCAATTTTTTTTCATTTTAAAAGGTAAATGTTAGACCCCTAATATTTCCTCGAAACCTCCCAACAGTAAAAAAAATGGCTTAATAAAAAAAAAAAAACATTAAAAAAATTATTTAAAAAAAGGGAAAATTACCCCCCCACCTGCGACCCACCACAACTGACCCCACGCATGCACAGCGGCATGTGACGTCATGCTCCCTGCCTCCAAGATGGTAGCACGCATTCACAGAACGCACCGGTGGCCAACATGGCAGCCGCAGCGCTGACTGGCGGAACGGATGGGGTAGGGGGCGGGTACAAAGGCAGGGCGCATGACGTCATATGACCCTGCACGTGTTGGGCGCCACCATCTTGGTCTATATCTAGGTATACACCAAGATGGCGGCACCTATATCGGTGTGTGACGTCACCTGACCCCACGCATGCACAGCGGCATGTGACGTCATGCTCCCTGCCTCCAAGATGGTAGCACGCATTCACAGAACGCACCGGTGGCCAACATGGCAGCCGCAGCGCTGACTGGCGGAACGGATGGGGTAGGGGGCGGGTACAGCTGGCTCTGCCTCTAGATAGACAGAGCCAGCTGTCAGTCACGCAGCTGGGCGGATCCAGACATAATTGTCGGGATCCTCTTCAGCTGCAGCGTCTTAGTATACCGCGAGCAGCAGCTCGCGGTATACTGCGGCGTATCAGTATACCACGAGCTACAACTCGCAGTATACTGAGCCTAGGGTGACCGGAGGACGCTAGTTTGTGTCCTCCCGTTACCCTAAGGAGAACTATGGGGAAAAGCCTTAACCCCATAGTTCTCCTTTAATAAGAATACTTGTATTGTGCATACAAGTTCAATACCTTCGAATAAAAGTTTTATTTTTATAATACTTTTGAATATGTTTCTTTGGGGCTTAACAAAATGGGACACTTTAAATGGTGCGGATATTTGGAAAAAATGGGTGTGGTTACTGAGGGGTGTGGTCACTGAGGGGCACTGTAAAGCTTTCTCGCACAGGGCGCCTAAAAGCCTAAGACCGGCCCTGGATGCAGTCACTGTTCAGGTATTCTGACAGCCATGGAAACAGCAGCTGGATGGGGTAATTGAGTGAATGTTCTTGTTTAGCCTGTGGGGCTCAGCAAGAGAAATTCTAATGCTAGCCTTACTCTTTTTATTTGTAGATGACTACAAATTATTTTCACTTTTATAATAAAACCGGTTTCTCCAAACTTTGACTGTCCAAATAGGATCTGCAATAGAGCTTGTTCTTGCTAGTTGTTGTTTATATCAGATTTTACGTATTTTAAAATGGTAAAACTTGTTTCCTTGCAACCATGGCAGCAATATGGGAAAACTTGTGTCTGGCACACAGCAGTGGTTCTCAACCTGTGTAACCTCAGGACCCACGTTTGTCCTTGGTCTTTAAGTCTCGACCCAAGTTGCACTGCACTGGAATGCACAGCATTGTGGTGCCACGCATTTCGGTGCGGGCGATTGAACTATGGGCGGGAGGTGCGTTTGGGATGCCATTCAAATGAATGGCAACGAAATGCACCTCCCACACCAGAACGCATAGAACCTGTAGTAGATGCGATTGCGTGGTACAGTGCGTTAATCGCACAGGACTATTCACTGCACTGCACATGTACTAGCGTGAACGGGCCCTCAAAAACACTGACAGACACACACAACCACAGACACAATGTCACACACTCACAGACATTCTCACGCACACATACACACTCCAAAAAAAGATTATTTTTCTTAACTTTTTAAAGATCCCAATAAGACTGTCACAGGTCGGCTCAGTAGATCGGGAGATGAGCGAACACATACCGGCGTTCGCTCACCTCTCGATCCTGTCACGGCTCTCTGCCGTGACAGGGGAGGGGCTGATTTCCCCCTCCCCGCTCCGATCCCCCAGCGCTGACTGGTGGAACGGACGGGGGAGCGGGCGAGTACAGCTGGCTCTGCCTCTTGATAGGCAGAGCCAGCTGTCAGTCACGCAGCTGGGCGGACCCTGGCACAATTGTCGGGATCCGCTTCGGCTGCGGCATCTCAGTATACTGCGAGCTGTAGCTCGCGGTATATTGAGCCTAGGGTGACGGGAGGACGCTAGTTTGTGTCCTCCCGTTACCCTAAGGAGAACTATGGGGAAAAGCCTTAACCCCATAGTTCGCCTTTAAGGTTATAACTGTCACAGCATTTGCTGGGAACGGTGCCTGTTTCCGTTTACACATGTGGTGGCAACTATTGTTTGTGTGAAGGGTTAACTGTGGAGTTAACCAACCCCATTGACAATCACTCTCAGTCTGCTGGCCGTAGATTGTTGTCCCATCCTGGAAAATCTCTGTGCAGGGTGAGACTGAGAGTTGTATTATAATGATTTGGTGGGTTGAACCTGCGTTTCATCACAGGTAACGCCTGTGAGGGGAGGGGATCACAAATAGCACAAGAATGGAGGGGATCGCTTACAAAGTAAGTCAGCCATAATGTGCTGCTATGCTGTGCTTACTAACACATTATAGCTAAAAACTTTGGAGGACTTTAAAAAAAAAAAAACACTTAACTTCTGCTTTAATTTCTGTAAGAATATATGAAAAACTATATTAGAAGAACTTTTATAACGGGACTTTTACATAGTTATATAGCTGGGTTGAAAAAAAGACACAAGTCCATCAAGTTCAATCAATGAAATATTTTCTTTTTGTCACACAGGATTCCATCTTTACCACAAGCTGCCCGCTATAGTCCCAGAGAGCTGTCTCCTTATCTTGGTTGGATTACTTCTTGGTGGAATTATATTTGCAGTAAATGAGAAGTCTCCTCCAGCAATGAAGACGGATGTCTTTTTCCTGTATCTTCTGCCTCCGATTGTGCTTGACGCAGGTTACTTTCTCCCCACACGCCCCTTTTTTGACAATGTGGGCACAATATTCTGGTATGCAGTGGTAGGCACACTTTGGAATGCCATTGGAATTGGGATATCACTTTTTGGAATATGTCAAATAGAGGCCTTTGGGCTGTTAAACATTTCATTGCTACAGTGCTTGCTATTTGGTAGCTTAATATCGGCTGTCGATCCAGTGGCAGTTTTGGCTGTTTTTGAAAATATCCATGTCAATGAACAACTGTACATTTTAGTATTTGGGGAATCCTTGTTGAATGATGCTATCACTGTGGTAAGTAGTCTGATTTTGAATATCATTTTTTGATTGCAGAACAATATAGAAACTTTAAAGAATAAAGTTTAAGTTTAAGTTTCGTACAAACATAGAACTACTTGTTTAGTATCTAATTGAAAAAAAAGATGAATAAGAAAAATAATTATAGTATAGATCTGATACCCCTATAGGTAGAACCATGGGTGGAGTGATGGTCATCCTCTCCCCCGCTCACACAGAGGCACATATATTAAGAAGGACGGACACACAAGGACAAGGAACCCAATCATGTAAACTCAAATATATAAGTTTAAATAAATGACTGAAGCCTTAAAGAAGAAGATAATCAATCCAAACACTCCGTATTGCCCTAAAACTAAGGTAGCAGTCCTACAAATTAGCTGACACTTCCATTATCCCCATAATGCAATTAAGTTCACTTAACCATGATAAAGTATGTCACCACACACTGAGGATCTTAGTCCAAAATGCCTTTATTGACATCTAAACATTGTGGTCAAACAAACAGCAACATTTCAGGACCACGCAGGGCCCCTTCATCAGGATTAATATCATATCGGGCCTGATGAAGGGACCCTGCGTCATCCGGAAACGTTGCTGTTTGCTTGACCACAATGTTTAGAAAAACGCCCTCCCAATGCTGAGGGCATGTGGCCTGCCAGGCCAGTGCTCGGATTGAGGGTCTGGTTTGAAATTTTAGAGGGGTTGGTGGGGTTCCCCCTTAAAATTCATATCAGACCTTAAAGAGTCTGGTATGACTTTTAGAGGGAACCCCACACACTTTATTTTTATTTTTAACTCGTCCCTCCAAACATTCCTACCAGACCTAAAGAGTCATGCTGAGTTTTTCTGGCCCGTGTTTACATTCTTTTAAATTTTAGGTAACTCCGAGGTAGCGAGCAGAATAACCGAGCCGAGTGCTGCGGCGGCATTCGGCTATTCACTCCCTGCTGTTCGGCCCCTATGAGAGCGAGAACTGTCGTACGCTGGCCTAAGCTGTTCGGCTGAACCAACGTGAACTGAAGGGAGGCGTTCGGCTCCCTTCACTTCGGGTCGGTTATTCACTCGGCTGCCTTCAGCAGCGAATAAGCCCCTATGTTTTTAAAGAGGTTCTCCCTTTTTTTTTTTTTTTAACTATAACGAATGACGTTAGAGAGGAGCACAAGGAACATTTCTGTGGTCAAAAATAAATGGCAGGCAATATCTGCTCTTGGGTAGGACTTTAAAAGTGTAAAGCTAAGTACATGTTCACTTCAAACAGACCATAACAATATGAGTAAATTATGATTGCAATAGCAATGACAAACAACACAAAAGTGGGTGTTGCTCATGGCTGCAGTGTATACACAACAAATGTAACGTTTTGGAAAGATGCATGTTAAACAGAAACCAAAGAAACCTCAAAGCTAAAACTGAGTGCTCACAATAAAATGCTCGGTTAATGCTTGATTTTTCCACTGATACCTCCACTAACTGGCATAAATACAATATCAGTGCAATAGAGTACAGTAAATGGTGACCATCTGAGTCTCCTTAGTGTTTCATTCAGGGATATGTCTTTCTGACTGCAAACCCCATGATACATATACTTTTACATTTTTCTGTTTAAAATTTAGAGGGGGGGAGGCCAGCCGGCCAAGCGCAGGATTCATATTGGGTGCTTTTTTTTGTTTAAATGTCCTGTATTAAAGTTGAACTCTGTACACAAGAATTTGCATTTATATATATTTCTATAGCCACAAAGGTTATACAATTACTTTGTGTCCAAAACAAAAATGCATTTACAAACCCAGCTATTAACTACCGAGGAGACAGATACAAGACTGGTCTTTTTTACATAAAACGACTGCACCGATGCAATGTACAAATGTCGTTGTTGTTGGTAGAATATTGCAAAGATAAGGAAAAAAATACACAAAGGACACCAACATTCAAGTAATTACCCATGGTTTTTCTTTCAGACATTTGTTTGGGCTGGATTTCAGCTTTATTATATTTTTAAGATTATTAATCCTGCACAAGGGGACCTGCTGGTAGTATATTTTAAAGCCTTGGTTCTCAACTGGTGGGTCGTGACCCAAAAGTGGGTCGCGACTCTGTGTTCAGTGGGTCGCAACTCCGTGTTCAGTGGGTCGCGACTCCGTGTTCAGTGGGTCGCGACTCCGTGTTCAGTGGGTCGCGACTCCGTGTTCAGTGGGTCGCGACTCCGTGTTCAGTGTGTCACTGCATGCCTACCACTTTTCTAGGTGAGAGGCTACCCAGCCTCCCCCTAGTGCAGCACTGTCAGTTCTTGTGCCAAGCAGCTATTTAAAATATGCTGCCCCATGCCGAGTGTCAGCTTGAGGTGGGGTGGGCTGGGGCTATGGCTGCGAGCGAGGGAGCTCCATCCATACGTGCATTGCTTACAGCTCCCTCACATGTCCTGCAGAGATGCCTGGACCGGAATGACATCACATTCTGGCTTCCGGCACCTCTACAGGGCATGCAAGAGAGTTGTATAAGCAATGCACAAATGGATGGAGCTCCGTCACAGCACAGCAGGCCACACTGGACCCCAGGCTGAGGAGCCACTCCAGATCTCGTAAAGTAGGGAGACTGGGTGGATCTTTAAAAAAAAAAAGAATCTTTTTTTGGAGTGTGTATGTGTGTGTGAGAATGTCTATGAGTGTGTGAGATTGTGTCTGTGGTTGTGTGTGTCTGTCAGTGTTTTTGAGGGCCCATTCACGCTAGTACAATGTGCAGTGCAGTGAATAGTCCTGTGCGATTAACGCACTGTACCACACAATCGCATCTACTACAGGTTCTATGAGTTCTGGTGTGGGAGGTGCATTGCGTTGCCATTCATTTGAATGGCATCCCAAACGCACCTCCCGCCCTCCCGAAATGCGCGGTACCACAATGCTGTGCATTCCAGTGCAGTGCAACTTGGGTCGAGACTAAAATACCAAGTCATTCAATATAGTTACGGATCTTGGGACCGGCAGTATCAAAAGTAGAGGGCTAATACTAGTGGGGTTGTGCCTCTGGAACATCTTCACTTCTTTGTGCTATCAGGGACCCTGTGGAATAAAATTGCCTAGATGCACCCACTGCCAGAGCTAATGACATTACACGCTGAACGAGCAGCGGCCAGATCGGCCACCGGCTCGTTCTGCGCATGCTCACCGCCATTTTGGAGTAGATCTTGGTATACAAAAAGATGGCGGCGCTCGAACATGCGAGTGCTGCTATCTTGGTGTATAGCAAGATCTACTCCAAAATGGCTGTGTGCATGTGCAGAACACGCTGGCAGCCGATACGGCCGCCGCTCATTCTGCAGTTTCAGTGTGCGGTTTTGGATTCGGAGGCTTGTTGCCTCCAAATCCGAAACAACATAAACATTTGTTTCCTTTGACAAAACAAATGAAAATGTTTTCATTTGTTTCATCTGGAAACACATTTTTGTGTTGTGCACATGTCTATTATTTATGCATACATCATCTATCTCAAATTTACCTGTATTCATAGTTTGCACTCAAAAATCAAATTCTACCAGTGCACCACTCCATGTATGATAAATAATAATAACAGACATCTCAGGTGTAAAATGCTGCGATTTTGAAATACTTACACTTGCAGAGCATTCACTTCCTGCTTTGAAAAGGCAAAACGACTTCAGTTTGGCAAAGCAATGCACACTGGGATTGCCTTGTCATCAACAGAGCGTTGCTGGGAAATCTCATCTGTAATCTTATGAGATCTCAGAGAAAGGCATTTTCCTCCCCTGAGATGATGTGCATGGTCACATGTCCTAGTCACATGTCTAGTCACATGTGCCAGAAATCCAGACAGTAATAGGAGAGCTAGTCATCAGCCCTTAGTAAACATGGCCACTGTCAGAAGAATGGGGAAGAAAAGAGAATTAAGGAATTAGGGTTGCACAGATACCAAGTACAATACTCGGTACAAGTCCGAGTACATGTACCGATACTTTTGAGCTCCAAGACTAGACTAGAGAAAAATTCAAAAATTAGGAGGCAACTGTCATTTGTAAGGAGCACACGGAGCTCCCGGGATTTGTACATCTCAGCAATAGAGTACAGTAAATGGTGACCATCTGAGTCTCCTTAGGGTTTCATTCAGGGATATGTCTTTCTGACTGCAAACCCCATGATACATATACTTTTACATTTTTCTGTTTAAAATTTAGAGGGGGGGAGGCCAGCCGGCCAAGCGCAGGATTCATATTGGGTGCTTTTTTTTGTTTACATGTCCTGTATTAAAGTTGAACTCTGTACACAAGAATTTGCATTTATATATATTTCTATAGCCACAAAGGTTATACAATTACTTTGTGTCCAAAACAAAAATGCATTTACAAACCCAGCTATTAACTACCGAGGAGACAGATACAAGACTGGTCTTTTTTACATAAAACGACTGCACCGATGCAATGTACAAATGTCGTTGTTGTTGGTAGAATATTGCAAAGATAAGGAAAAAAATACACAAAGGACACCAACATTCAAGTAATTACCCATGGTTTTTCTTTCAGACATTTGTTTGGGCTGGATTTCAGCTTTATTATATTTTTAAGATTATTAATCCTGCACAAGGGGACCTGCTGGTAGTATATTTTAAAGCCTTGGTTCTCAACTGGTGGGTCGTGACCCAAAAGTGGGTCGCGACTCTGTGTTCAGTGGGTCGCAACTCCGTGTTCAGTGGGTCGCGACTCCGTGTTCAGTGGGTCGCGACTCCGTGTTCAGTGGGTCGCGACTCCGTGTTCAGTGTGTCACTGCATGCCTACCACTTTTCTAGGTGAGAGGCTACCCAGCCTCCCCCTAGTGCAGCACTGTCAGTTCTTGTGCCAAGCAGCTATTTAAAATATGCTGCCCCATGCCGAGTGTCAGCTTGAGGTGGGGTGGGCTGGGGCTATGGCTGCGAGCGAGGGAGCTCCATCCATACGTGCATTGCTTACAGCTCCCTCACATGTCCTGCAGAGATGCCTGGACCGGAAT